CCGCGTCGGGCTCCTTGCTCGGCAGGGAGCCTGCTTCTCCCTCTGCCTCTGCCTGCCACTCTATCTGCTTGTGCTCACTCTCGCGCTCTCTCTCTCTCTCTCTCTGACAAATAAATAAATAAATAAATAAATAGAAAATTATTCTGAAATACTTGTGTAAGGGCAGGATTTACCATAGGAGATAGATAAAATCTCCTGAAAAATAACTGCACAAAAGAGAATATGGTTGAAGTTTACATTTGTTGAAATACATTAATGTCAAATGTCTTTAATAAATTAAGATCCACTTGTAGATACTGATTTCCTTTTATGATTTTTTAAAATTTTTTTTTTGGTTCATAATAAATATTTTCTTCTTTTTCTGGCTTCCCATATTCCTTAAATCATTTCATGTAGATATATAGACCATCTGTCCTTCCAAAAGGCTATTCCTTCTCTCAACAAGGGGCAGAAGTGGAAATAAAAGGCACAATATGGAAAGAAAGCCAGGAAGAATCTTATGGACAGTTTTTTGGCTCCTCTTCTTTGGCCCCTCTTTGCAACCCCCTAGGGAATGACAGGGAGCCAACAGCTTGTATCCATTTGAGAAAGTGATAGTGGCCGCAGAAGAGAAAATGCTAAGCTGTTCACTCTCTTCCTAGACAGAAAAGCAATACAAATGGTGGATGGTGTGCTGGAATGCACATGTTCTGTGCCACAAGACCAAATAGATTGGGATTTCTTATTGAAGTAGAACATAAGAGGCTCTATCAATGTTTGACTAAGTAAAATGCAAGCTAGTCATTTGAATTGCTTCCAAATATACAGCTGGAAGCTCTCTGCATTGTGATAATTTTGTAATAACCTCTCTCCCCAAAGACAGTCTTATGACCTGGGGAATTACATGCACACTGTGCTCCAGGAGTTGCACCCCCAGGTTTTTATAGGCTTAAGATACACGGTTCATCCTGAGAACCACACGGTATCTAGCGATAGCCTGTGAAAATGTAACCCCAACAAAGGTCCTTGAGAAATTGCCCTTGAAGCTCCCGAGTCTCAGCATAGGAGGTCTTCAGCTAATAAATGTTGAATGAATAGCACATTAGTTCGAGCCAGTTTCCATTAGCAGTTTTGTATGTGAAGAAAAACCACTCTCTCCCACCTCCTCCAGCTGCATTAAGATCTCAGAAATAAGGTGCCTGGGTGGCTTAGTCATTAAGTGTCTTCCTTCAGCTCAGGTCATGATCTCAGGGTTCTGGGATCGAGCCCCATGTCAGGCTTCCTGATGAGCAGGAGTGGAAATAAAAGGCACTCCCTCTCCTACTCTTCCTGCTTGTGTTCCCTCTCTCATTCTCTCTCTCTCTCTCTGTCAAATAAATAAATAATTAAAAAAAAAAAAAAGACCTCAGAAATAAGGCAGTCTTGCCTCAAAGGAGCCTAAAAACCTAAAAGGAGAATTGCTGTCTGAAATCAAATTCCAGAGCAGGTAGTGACTTTGAAGTGGGCTTCATGGAGCTGAATTTTCTAGTTTTTAGAAAACTAGAGGTTTCTTTCAGGTTCCAGCCACAAAAATAATGACAATAGTAGAACCCGTTGCCCAAAGTCAAGTCTGAGTCCTCAGAAGAACATTAATAAAAATATTAATTTGAGTATTAGAATTGTCACTCGGAAATTTCTCCTGGAAGTTGTCTTTGTTGTCTTTGAAAATCACAGAGGTGAGGCCTTATGCCCCTGTGGAGAGCAGAGGAATACAGGCCTTTCGTAAGCCTGGAGCAAGCCACTGCTGCTGCTGCTGCTGCTGACATTAAAAACAAGAAGCATTTCATCCTTGAGTCTGTCATGTAGGAGAAAGCCTCAGACTCATCTAATGCAGATAGATGGGATTTCTCCATAGTTGTCCAGTCTCCCAGATGAAGGAAAATGAACACCCTAAATTGTTGAAGCCTGCCTGGGGGAGCGGGGATCACAGCTCCGTTTCTCTCGCCTCTCGAAGCCCCTCGATGAACTGTGCATCTCCAGCTTCTGCCTGGGTACACTTTTCACTGATATCTGATGGAAACATGGCCTTGCAGAACTCTTACCAGTCCTCCCTTTTGTTTCACGGTGGTAAATTGAACCATAAATCAAACTTAAATCGAACACTGAAAACTTTTGATACTGTCAAAACTTAATCAGAAAAATTAATCAGCTCTGTAGAAGTGACAGGGTAACAAAAATGAAGCATTGAGTAATTGAGTTAATAAAAAAAGAGGCCTTCCCTTAATATTGACAATGTTGATTTCTTTGGAAATAGTTTTGAAGTTTTGCTTCAAGAGCAATTTCTCAATAGTTTTAAATATGACCAAGCCTCATGGCTGTGTTAGTTTATCTAAAACAGTGCAGGGCTACCCCATAGAATGAATATGTACCATTGCTTAGAAGGATGAAACTCTGATATTGAGAAAGAATCTTTGGACCCATAACAGAGCTGGGTTATGAGCAGTCCCAGCTCTGCCACAGGGAACTTCCTGTTGCCTCGGTTTTCTCATCTGTAAAACGGAACTGATAATATCTACTCCATAGCGTTGTTAAATGATTAAATGAAGTCATATATGGGCGAAGTTCGTAGCCCATAGTACAGAAAATTGTTGTTGTTGTTGTTGTTAAAATGTAGTTCTTGGGTCCTGCTCACTGATACAGTCTCACTAGGGAGGGTATGAGTGTATATCAACTTACTGTGCTAAGGAAATAAGAATTGAAAGAGCATTTCACTCTTGACTATATATTTCCTTATTTTGTGTCTCATATGTAAGTCTTATCTCCCTACTAGATGAAGTTCCTGAGGACAGAAACTGAATCTTTTCCGTACTCCACAATGACTAACACAGTGCTAGATAACTAGTAGACATTCCAGAAATGTTTGTTGACATGACCTTACTTGGTAAATGTCTTATGTCTTTCTAATATCCCTTTTATGAGAATAGGATTATGCCCTGCCACATAAGAATCTTAAATTTCCTGGTAACCTATTTTCCAATAAAACTGTAGGGATAGTTTACCATCTTCAAATTGTTTTTTCTTTCTAATTCGTTTCTGGGCTCATCTTTGGCCATTTTGTTATTTTTGCATTTATAAGTTTCATTAACACTACAGCTAGCACTGAAATAACTTTGCTGTCTCCTTTTTTTTTAAGAGGGCAGGAAGGGGCAGAGGGAAAGGGAGAAAGAATTGCAAGCAGGCTTCACACCTGGCATAGAGCCTGACTTGGGGCCCGATTTCACGACCCTGAGATCATGACCTGAGTTGAAACCAAGAGTCAGATGCTTAACTGACTGTGCCATCCAGGCACCCTTTCCTGTCTCTATTTTTTAATGAAAATTTTAGTTTTCTGATATTACTGAAATTAGTTAGATGCCCTTTATACTTAACCTTTCCATTTGCATATCTAAATGATTTAATGATTTTTCAGTAGTTTTGTGGTAAGTAAGCATGTCTAATTAAGACATCCTACACTATGTATTTTTTTTTTAAGCTCTGTTGATGTCTTAGTCTTTGATTGCCATTTTGGGGAAAACCTGGAAATGCATTACTTTCCTTTTAAATGTGTGAGTGTATAACAATATTAAGTACAGATTGAGGAACTGATATGACTTTACAAATATACCAGTTGATCAAATTTATAATTAGCTTTTTTTAGAGTATTTTTTAATGGTAATTGGCCTGTTCAGATTTTCTACTTCTTGACTCAATTGGAAGGGTGGGTAATTAATATTTTTCTTAAGAATCTTCCATTCTTGGGGCACCTGGGCAGCTCGGTTGGTTAACTGTCTGACTCTTGATTTTGGCTCAGGTCATGATCTCAGGGTTGTGGGATCAAGATCAGGCTCCATTGGTCTCTGCGCTAGGCATGAAACCTGCTTAAGATTCTCTCTCTCCCTCTGTCCCTCCCCACCCCAAAGATCTTCCATTTCTTGAGATTTAAGATCACAGCCTAAAATTATAAAGTGAATTCATCTTCAGTGTCTGTATTTTTTTTTTAATCTATCATTTCTGATTTTGTATGTTAGGATTTTCTCTTTTGATTAGGCAAACCGAAGTTTTATGGGGACATTTTGGGCAGTTGGAAGATCACCTTTGGCCATACCGTCTAAGATTTGATTTATCGTGTTCCCGTTACCATTCATTCCTAACCATACGTAATTGCAGGTTTTGTGAAAGTTGTTTAAGAGTTTTGTGTCTGTGACTTCCATAGACATCCTTCATTAACATCTTGTTTCTGGCATATTCCCCACTGTCTGAGAGCACCTTCTTCCCACTGTGAGGAGCTTCTGCATGGCCCTCCTCACCTCTAGCGCTCAGTGCTAGTGTTCCTGTCCAAGGGCTCAGTGAGCTTCTGCCAGTGTCCTCCACCATTTCCTGGGAGACTGCACTGATTCCCAGAAGGCAGGGGGATTTGAGAATCGGTGTTTACTACATTCCTTCAATCTGGTCCCATCTGCTCCATAATTAGCTGCCAGTCCTCTAAGTCTGTAACAAGAAGACGGTCTTCCCTAGTTTGATTCCTGGGGGAGGATCCCCCTCCTTTGTCATTCCTTATTGATTATAATAAGTACTGGCAGGGGGCCATAATTAGCTTTGAAGTTATTTCTGAGTAGCAGGGACATGGATGATCCAGAGAGCACTTCTTACCAATAATATTACTCATGAATTGGAATGGAGTTTTAACATTGTTTTTATCCCCACAAAGATGCTCCCGCTCTGTAAGGTGTAAGGTGTTATAGCAGCTCTGTTTTATCCATGAGGATATTGAGGCCCAGAGAAGTTGAGTGACTTTCCTAAAGTCATAAATATTGACAAAGCTGGAATAAGAACCCAGATCTTCTGTTTCTGATTATTTTTTTTCAAATCTCAGTGAGAATTACAGTTCAAAAATAACAGTCTCTATGGCCACCAACTATTTTCTGGCATCCAGCTCGATCATTCCACATTCCATGTCAAAATACTTCGCATTTGACCCCAAGAACACTCTGTTTCTCTCCCAGTTCGAACGCCATGACCCTGTGGATGGGAAAATTACTGAGAGGCAGTTTGGTGGCATGCTGCTGGCCTACAGTGGGGTGCAGTCCAAGAAGCTGACCGCCATGCAGAAGCAGCTCAAGAAGCATTTCAAAGAAGGAAAGGTAGGTGTCTTTGTTTATAGGAAGAAAAGGAACCATGGGAAGGTATGGTTATATTACAAAGGTACTACCATAATGAGAGTGTCATGAAGCAAAGATTATAACTAATTCATCTCTGGTGCTTCAGAAAACACGAGCAGTGGATGAGGAAGAAGGGAGATTACAGAATAAGCCCTTAGGTTTCTTGTTCAAAGGGTGGCACTGTGAACTAGATTGAGAAATTTAAGAGGTACCTGTCTCGTTCAGTCGGTTGAGCATGCAGCTCTTGGTCTCAGGGTTGTGAGTTCAAGCCCCACATTGGACTTAGAACTTACAAAAAAAAATTTCAGAAAGACTATCTGGAGAGAAATTAAAAAGAGAGACTGGTTTCCAGAGGAATATAAGAGTTTAGTTACAGATACCTTGATTTAGGATGCCTATATATGGGGTGCCTGGGTGGCTCAGTCAGTTGGGCATCTACCTTCAGCTCAGGTCATGATCCCAGGGTTCTGGGATCGAGCCCCGCATCAGGCTCTCTGCTTGCCGGGGAGCCTGGTTCTCCCTTTCCCTCCGCTGCTCTTCCCCTGCTTGTGCTTTCTCTCTTTCCCTCAAAAAATATATAAAATCTTAAAAAAAAAAAAATGCCTGTGGACTCTCCAGTTAGAGATGATTAACAGGCACTTGGATATTCACATCTACTTCAGATGACTGAGATAGGTTTGGGAATCATCAATACATTATTCAGGTTAAAGCCGTAAGACATTTATTGTTCTTTTTCCCCCACCCTCAACCCCCTCCATGAGACGTTTAAATAGCACAGGAAGGAAGCAGTTAGAGAAAGTAGTGCAGCTGAAGCCAAGGAAGTAGAGGGTACAGGGACAGAGGGGATCTAGTAAAACAAGATGATAAACATCCATTGGCTTTGGTAAAATGGTAATAATTGATGACCTTTGGGAGCTGTTTATTAGAGTGGAGGACACATTAGAATGGGAAGTAAAGAAGTCGAGAAGGAGAAGATAGGAAGAAATTGAGGAAGAGGGAAGAGGGGCTCCAGAAAGAAGGAAATAGAACATATTCAAAACTCTGAGGCAGTGTATAAGTCTGCTTGGACTGCTACCACAAAACACCACAGGCTGGGTGGCTTCAACAACAGAAATTTATTTTCTCACAGTTCTGAACGCCAGACATTGATGATCAAGGTGCAGGCAAGTTAAATTTCTAATGAAATTCTTCCTGGCCTTTGGACAGCTGCCTTCTAACTAGAGCCTCACAAGGCCTTTCCTTGGTTGTTTGCATGGCAAGAGACAGAAGGAGAGCGAGAGAGCAAGAGCAGGAAAGCACACATGCATACTAGCTCTCTTGTGTGTCTTCTTACAAGGATGCTAATCCTGTCAGTTCAGGGCCCCACCCTTATGACCTTATTTAACCTTGGTTATTTGCTTAGAGGCCCTGCCTCCCAGTATGGCCACACTGGGGGTTAGGGCTTCAGTGGATGTATAAGTTCTGTGATTGAGGGGACACACTGATGCCACAACAGATAGAAAACACAAAGGTCCAGCGTGTGTGAGAAACTGAGAGGGGACTGTTGTGGTTGGAGCATATTAGCAAGGAGGAGAATGGCCTGAGATAAGGTCTGAGAGGGAGATGGGGCCAGCCCGTGCATGGCACGAGTTTGGATTATATTCACAGTGCAATGGGGAGCTATTAAAGGGCTGTGAACAGTGAAATGCTTGTACATTTGTATGTATATTTAAATAAATGACTCTGGATGTCTTATGAAAAATAGTTTGGAAAGGAGCAAACACAGAAGCCAAAAGACTGATACTTGGATGATGAGAGAATTCGGGAAGAGGTGATGGAGCATTTTTTGAGCAGCACTGCAATTGGAAACCATGAGTTGGTGGCAGCACCAGCCAGCACTGCTCTCTGATAGCTTTGCACACCAGCTGCACCTGGTGCAGGAAGGGGCAGATGGTAGAACTGAGTCAGCACTGGGGTTTTGCCAGGGTGTGGGATGGACATACTGAAGCAGAGATCACTGAAGAGGCATACCTCTTAACCGTCACGCACACGCACACGCATACACACATGCACACGTGCCCCAGGTTGCCAGACCTTCTTATTCGCAGCCCAGTACCTTTTCCCCTGGACAGTGATTACCAGTTGGCCATGACCAAAGAAACTGACCTGGCACTAAAATTGTTCTGTCCCTACAGCAGGTGTTCTCTTGGTTATGGGGGGAGGACTCATCATTAACAGAAAGTGACAGAGAACAATCCTGTCTCTTAGAGACAGCTTTTACGGTGCTTAGTACCCAGCTCATATCTGTTAGAAATTATGATTTCCAAAAATTAGTGTTTAGGTGGAATTTTAGCCCTTAGGACAAAAACATGGTATTTGCATTAGGAAACACTCTTTTCTTTTTACCAGACTAATTTTTAAATAAGTTTTGTTCACACATTTATTTGACCTTAAAATAATTAACTGCCATTATAGGCTAATTTGTATTTTACTATTAATTCATATTTTAAAACAATAAATTGTTTGTTGGAGACCTCTCCCTTGAAGGAATAATGTATCTTTGGCAGGAGTTAATTTAGGACCTGGAGACCTTACAGAAGAGCTGTGAAGTAAAAGGACAGTTTTTTTTTTGTCAAATGATAAAAATCTGGGGTGCTAAATTACTTCTGGCCTAGAATTTCCAGGCTGCATTAGCCAGGAGATTGAGATTGATTGCCCTCTCATGTTGATTAACTTTGTGAACATAGCAATTAACTAAAATGAGAGTTAATGAAGGGCCTTTGCTCCTGAGGTTACCAGTCCATCTCTCTAGGACCATGTCTCATTAAAGGGGAATCACCATCTGCTTCCTAATTATTTCTTTTATTCCACTCTGGATTTGTTATCATGAAAATGTAACTTTTCATTTGGCTCATATCAATCATTTTCTGCGTGGGATTCTGCACAGATTATCAACCCAGACCTAAAGGACTGGCGGTCCTAGTGGTAATATTAAGTAAATATTTGCACATCACTTAATGACTCTGCGATGTTTTACTGCCTTTCACATTGTTCTTTCTCTGTCCTTCCAACAGCCTTGTTAGATCTCCTTTTGCCTTTGAGATTCTAGAGACAGAAAGAAAGAGAAATGAATGACCCACCCAGAGTCTGGACTGCAATCCAAGGCTTTCTAGTCCAGATCTTGTCCTTTCTATAGCAGAGTTCTCCTTAGCCATACCCTTTGTCCAAAGCAGTGCTTCTCAAGCCCAGTCTCCCAGTATCTCTTGGGGGATTTTTCAGAAATGCGATTGTTGGGGCCCTCTTCAAACCAGCTAAATCAGCAGCTCAGTGGGTGGGTCCAGGCATCAGTGTTTCTTAAAAGGCTCCCGAGGGGATTCTTGGATGCAGTTTAGCTTGTGAGCCACTGGTCCGGAGGGCTGTCCTCTGTCCGGGTCTCTAGATCTTTTGCCTCTGAGTAATAGCTGGACAGACTGGGGGAACCTGGCATGCTGGACAGATTATTCATGCCCTGAGGAACTGCCGTGTTTCTTATTTAACAAAGACAGTTTTCATTTCTTCCTTCTTTTTATTTATTTATTTTTAATGGGGAGCATGTTTGTATGGCCTTTATTTTAAAAATCAGTCCCTGTCCTCTACCACATTTTTCTCATTCCGTTCACTATTCTTTTTCTTGTGAATAATTCTTCTAGGCCAAATCTGACTGAGCTCTAAAATTTGCCTATTTTCCTTCCTCCATATTGTCTTCTCATTAAAAGAATTTTCTGAGACTTTATAAATGTAATTCACAGGGATGGTTCTCTATGCTTAAGAGCACAAAAGCTGTAAGCTTTAATAATTTAGTGAATTCACTTAAGGCTGAATTGAAAATGATACTGAGTTCAATGTCAGACATTGCTATGTGCAAGACACTAAGCTAGGTGCTGTGGGAAAGATAAAAGATAAACAGAAACCATCATCTGTCCCCAAGAAATACATAGTCTGTAATAATTGAGTAAGAAAACATATATACACACACACACAAAGAACTATGTAATTTCATATCCAGTATTTACTGAGCATCCACTCTGTGCTAGGCACTCTTATAAATATTGGGAATACAATAACGAGCAAAAACAAGTCTCTGCTTCACAGAACTTGAACTTGACATTCCTAGTGCTGGGACACAGGTGATAAATAATTATAATACAAGGCAACTCACTTGACTTTGGGCCTCTTGAGAGCATGGTCCTACTCCTGTTTGCATGTCCCCAGTACAGTGAGTGTCCATAAGCAAATCTTTGTCAAACGCATTGGTGAATGTATTAAGTATACATATAAATCTCTGAAGCCTTTTGGGAACACCAACAAGAAAGAGTAGAATCAACTGAAGAGACTAAGATTTCTTGGCAGAGATATAATTTGAACTTGGTCTTAAGAGCAGAGTAGGATTTTGCAGGGTGTCAGCTTGTTCTTTGTCCTCAACTTGCCTTCTGCTCCCTCATCATTTCTCCCCAATGTTGACCCATAATCTTTAAGGTTAGTGAAGGCAGAAGGTCTCATCTTCTGTAATCCCTTCCTGCTGAAGAGGGGTGTAGAAATGTCCCTACCTGTGGGTCAGTATTGGTCAGCTGGGGAACATATAGGGGAGTTAGGAAAGGTGGAAGAAAGAGGGAAAACCCACCTTAGCTTGACAATAGCCAGGCCTCCAGTATCCTGAGAGTTTCTTTAGCATATGAAGGTCCTTTTGGACATCTCCCTTTTTCCTTACCTCCCCCAACTCTCAAGTATATAATCAGTCATTCCTCACAACCCCAAGGCAGCTCTTTCTGCCCAAGGGTCCGGTCCCCGTGCTTTAATAAAATAACCTTTCTGCACACACACACAAAAAAAAAAAGAAAGAAAGAAAAGAAAAGAATGTACAATTTTGACAAGCAAAAGTTACAAAGCAGTTTGCTTTTGTATCAGCATCACCATGTAGTAGAACATCTGAGGTGTGGCCATTAAACTGAAAAGACTAGAACTCT